CAACTTTTCGTTTTGTTAAGCTTTCTGCTGTGAGCTTCCTCCGACCGAAATCAAACTTCCAGCACCTCAATCGTGTCATTTGTCATCTATAGTTGACTGACTAATTGGTTGCAGGTCAGAAATTCGGTCAAAACTGTAAAATTTCGGCGCTGGAAATTTCAGCTTCAAAAACTGAAAAAGAGACAGAGTATTGGACAGTATGATTTTCCGATTTTATTCGAGATTTTGACTTGCAGTACCCCAATTTGGTTTCATACTATCATCAATTAACTGACTAATTGGTTTCTGGGCAAAAATTTCATCCAATCTGTCAAATGTGTGTTCAGAAATTTTCATATCTGAAAATGGGAGAGTTTTGAAAATACAACTTTTCGTTTTGTTAAGCTTTCTGCTGTGAATTTCCTCCGACCGAAATCAAACTTCCAGCACCTCAATCGTGTCATTTGTCATCTATAATTGACTGACTAATTGGTTGCAGGTCAGAAAACCGGTCAAAACTGTAAAATTTCGGCCCTGGAAATTTCAGCTTCAAAAACTGAAAATGGGACAGAGTATTGGACAGTATGATTTTCCGATTTTATTCGAGATTTTGACTTGCAGTACCCCAATTTGGTTTCAAACCATCATCAATTAACTGACTATAATTGGTTTCTGGGCAACAATTTCATCCAATCTGTCAAATGTGTGTTCAGAAATTTCATATCTGAAAATGGGACAGAGTTTTGAAAATACAACTTTTCGTTTTGTTAAGCTTTCTGCTGTGAGCTTCCTCCGACCGATATCAAACTCCCAGCACCTCAATCGTGTCATTTGTCATCTAAAGCTGACTGACTAATTGGTTGCAGGTCAGAAATTCGGTCAAAACTGTAAAATTTCGGCCCTGGAAATTTCAGCTTCAAAAACTGAAAATGGGACAGAGTATTGGACAGTATGATTTTACAATTTTATTCGAGATTTTGACTTGCAGTACCCCAATTTGGTTTCATACTATCATCAATTAACTGACTAATTGGTTTCTGGGCAAAAATTTCATCCAATCTGTCAAATGTGTGTTCAGACATTTTCATATATGAAAATGGGACAGAGTTTTGAAAATACAACTTTTCGTTTTGTTAAGCTTTCTGCTGTGAGCTTCCTGCGACCAAAATCAAACTTCCAGCACCTCAATCGTGTCATTTGTCATCTATAGTTGACTGACTAATTGGTTGCAGGTCAGAAAACCGGTCAAAACTGTAAAATTTCGGCCCTGGAAATTTCAGCTTCAAAAACTGAAAATGGGACAGAGTATTGGACAGTATGATTTTACAATTTTATTCGAGATTTTGACTTGCAGTACCCCAATTTGGTTTCATACTATCATCAATTAACTGACTAATTGGTTTCTGGGCAAAAATTTCATTCAATCTGTCAAATGTGTGTTCAGACATTTTCATATCTGAAAATGGGGCAGAGTTTTGAAAATACAACTTTTCGTTTTGTTAAGCTTTCTGCTGTGAGCTTCCTCCGACCGATATCAAACTCCCAGCACCTCAATCGTGTCATTTGTCATCTAAAGCTGACTGACTAATTGGTTGCAGGTCAGAAATTCGGTCAAAACTGTAAAATTTCGGCCCTGGAAATTTCAGCTTCAAAAACTGAAAATGGGACAGAGTATTGGACAGTATGATTTTACAATTTTATTCGAGATTTTGACTTGCAGTACCCCAATTTGGTTTCATACTATCATCAATTAACTGACTAATTGGTTTCTGGGCAAAAATTTCATCCAATCTGTCAAATGTGTGTTCAGAAATTTTCATATCTGAAAATGGGAGAGTTTTGAAAATACAACTTTTCGTTTTGTTAAGCTTTCTGCTGTGAGCTTCCTCCGACCGAAATCAAACTCCCAGCACCTCAATCGTGTCATTTGTCATCTAAAGCTGACTGACTAATTGGTTGCAGGTCAGAAATTCGGTCAAAACTGTAAAATTTCGGCCCTGGAAATTTCAGCTTCAAAAACTGAAAATGGGACAGAGTATTGGACAGTATGATTTTCCAATTTTTTTCGAGATTTTGACTTGCAGTACCCCAATTTCGTTTCATACCATCATCAATTAACTGACTAATTGGTTTCTGGGCAAAAATTTCATCCAATCTGTCAAATGTGTGTTCAGACATTTTCATATCTGAAAATGGGACAGACTTTTGAAAATACAACTTTTCGTTTTGTTAAGCTTTCTGCTGTGAGCTTCCTCCGACCGAAATCAAACTCCCAGCACCTCAATCGTGTCATTTGTCATCTAAAGCTGACTGACTAATTGGTTGCAGGTCAGAAATTCGGTCAAAACTGTAAAATTTCGGCCCTGGAAATTTCAGCTTCAAAAACTGAAAATGGGACAGAGTATTGGACAGTATGATTTTCCAATTTTTTTCGAGATTTTGACTTGCAGTACCCCAATTTCGTTTCATACCATCATCAATTAACTGACTAATTGGTTTCTGGGCAAAAATTTCATCCAATCTGTCAAATGTGTGTTCAGACATTTTCATATCTGAAAATGGGAGAGTTTTGAAAATACAACTTTTCGTTTTGTTAAGCTTTCTGCTGTGAGCTTCCTCCGACCGAAATCAAACTTCCAGCACCACTGAGTTAAAACCGCTTTTTTATTGTGTAGAAGTTCAGCAATGAAATATATATATATCGTCTCGGAGTCTCGCTTTATATATAGTAAGATAATCTTCATGTAGCTGAGATACGCGGATCTCAACTTATATTATGCTCCTCTCGCGTATATAGTATTAGTATCAACTTATATTCGAGCTTCTCGCGTATGCGAGAAGCTCGAAAAGAGCGCCGCGCATTGGGGCTGGCGTACCAGGTAAATATTGATATCACGTCGTGACCACCATTGTCGTTTCACTAAGAGTAAGTGGCTGCATCGTGACTACGTATGAGAAGACTCAGAGGCGGCTCGTGGGAGCTGGCTGGCAGTTTTGTTGAGGGTCCAATCGATGGACTGGGGGGGAGGGGGGCTTGGGAGCCGGCTCAAGCTGATCCCTCCAAACTACCGATTACATTACACACAGGGCCTTGTAAATGTAATGTGTAACACTTTACAGGCGACAGCAAACAAAAGCAAAAACTTATAATATGGGTGAAACAGGACACCACACGTGTACGATCTCAGCCGCGCAGTATCATATAGCAGTCAAATTGCAAAGGGTCCTGGACCCCCAAATCGAGGCAAATCATAATAGATTACCTGTAGTTGGATGCTCACGATGTGCTTTGTAACGTTTACAATTAACTATGTGTTAAAACTGCGCGGCTGAGTAGTCCAGAGGTAGGATTGGACTCCCTACAACACAAAATTTCACGAAGATCATGCGTGCGCTTACATTAAAACGTATGATAGTAAATGAAGACCTTTATATTGCGATTTGTTATTTCCTAACACTATTACTAATTACTATTTCTATTTTAAGCACCAGCCACCAGATAATAATTTTAAGGCGTCCACGGACGCCTGGACGCCCTCAATAGCCGCCTCTGTGAGAAGTAAATATCAGCTAGTTAGTTAACCTCCTCACTACATACTGATACAGACACAGCGATCAGACACGAGATAATTATTCTACTGCTCATTTTTGGAACTTTATGTTTTTCACGTCGTAAAAAAATGGTTCAGTATCCCGAGTTTAAGACTTTACTATTATGTATTATATACAGTGAATCTGTTTCTTCGTGTGGCGATCGCCTATAGGCTATAAGGATAACAGCAAACAATGAAAATAAATCGTCCTTTTCTATAATATTATCTGCAATCATTTGAGATCTCATTACATCAATTTTTCAGTAACACACCAATAGTTAATAAACGACGGTCCAAAACTCAAATGTCAGAAAATCAGAATTGAGAATACAGGCCCAAAATAAATTACCCAGCTGTTCCATGCCCAATGAACGATGATGGGCACGAGGATACGATTTCCATAAATTAAATCATCATCGTGCACAATTTCCCACGAGGATGATTTCCTCGCGATGAAATTATTGGACATTTCAATCCTCGCGAGGGTATTGCGAGGGTTTTCTCCTCATCGCACGATGATGAAATTCGAATAAATCACTGATCTTTCCAAAAAGGTATGACAAATTTGGTATTGTGAAAATTCTCACAGTCTCTAGAAAACAGTGGTACAAAAATTTTAAAAATCCGAGCAAGTTTATTTTTATCGTGCACCCCCTAGTATCATCGCGAGGATCCCACGAGGATCGCACGAGGGTCACCGCGAGGATACCTATATGAAATTTCGACGAAATTATGGAAATCATATCCTCGTGTGCATCCTCGTTCATCGTTCATTGGGCATGGAACAGGGGTGTAATGCACCGTGCACCGCGAAGTGTATTTTCACCAATTTTAAATAGTGCATAGATATCAGTTGTATCACCAATCACGTCGTGACCCCCATTATTATATATCGTTTCACTAAGTCAAAGTGCAGCGTATCTACGATACAGGGGGCCGGGGAGCCGCACACTCGTGCGCGGCGGTTCATACAACGTATGACAAAATATCGGCTGTAAATATTAAGCATTTCATCGATTAAAAAGTACTTCTTCTGTCAAGTTAAAGCGCACCAACTACCGCTCCTACTAAATCGCTCGCCCAAATTTTAAGAAAATTCTTGTGAAAAGGCCCTTTAGGCATGACAGTGATCTGGATCGGTGTATTTTTAGACGCTGATTCCGAATCACCCCCCATGACGTAGGGTTAAAATGCTTCCCTGGAGAGTTATGGGCAGAAAACCGTTTTGGTCACGTGACATGCTAGTAAAACGTGAATTCGATTATTTAGGGCTCGGGTTAGGGTTGTGGTTAAGATTATGGATAGCTTCGGGGTTATGGTTAGGGTTGGGATTAGGGTTTATGTAAAACCGTTTTGTACGGCTGCAAAACCAAAAAAAACCAAAGTCACGTGAAATTTTTGGGCGAGCGATTTAGTAAGAGCCACCAACTACCGACTTAAAGTTGATGCACGCGTTGTATACCTCTTCTGATCGCGCGCGGCAGCCGAAAAGTGGTATACAACGTGTATCAACTACTAAGAAGAGTGCTTCAATTTGAGCTGGTTGAGGAGAAACTCCTTACAGAAGTTCCGAACCGGTGCCGAAGAGGGAACGAAATGACCTGAAATAGAAAAGGGTTTAAAACCTTACGATATATGTTATAATACAGAATGTAAAGATAATTTAAATCTTAACTCAAGAATAACAAACATGCAGACACTTAAATGGGCAATTTTATTGGGTTTATGTAGTGGAAATTATTACTGGCACTTGGCAGTATTCCATATTAATATTATCATAATATTATATTATACTACTTCAGAAATAGTTACTAACCTCCTGGGTGTATGAAAGTCACGGGATCCTGAAAACATGCCACCAGTTTCTCGCTCATATCTGGAAATAATATTATGTGTAGTTACGTCATCATAAATTGTATTTATGAGTTAAAACTAAAATAACTATAACACACGAAACGAAACTAAATCATGATTCTGGGGACAAGTGACAATTGATTTGAGATTCGTCCAATTCGGATCACGAATTTTGTGACATTTTCTTACCAAGCGGAATCACTTCATCAGTCTGCCCATACACGTGCAAACTGCTCACAGTTTCTATAATATCAGTGTAATACTTGTCATGTTTTGTTATTCTTGATCTGAACCCGTTGAACATCATAACGAAGGACAGATCAGAGAGGGACGATTCCGTACGTTTCATCGAGCACAAGATAGATGTGAGGCATGCTCCTTGGCTGAACGACATTATACCTAGAGGGGTGGTGTTAAGAGGGGATGAGGGGATAGATGCAAAATAACGATAAGATTTCGGTTTTGAAGCATTAAAGTTTGATAAATATGTTAATAAATTTCGGTGATTTACAATAATACCATTTGGGACTGAAGGGTAAACAGTAAACTATGTTCTTACCATCGTAAGGTCCCTGAAACTAGTGGTGAATTTCGTCGAAAACTCAAAACTTCGAAAAATACTACGAATTGGCGTCTAGAATCTAGATCCAGATTTAAAATCTGTGATAGGGTTGAACCGAGCTGTAGATGTGCACTGCAAAAACGGACCCGTTACAGCACAGCTAGTTGAATTCATTTGAACGAGTGCGTGCGCGCGCGCGGATATTAGCGCGAAAAGAGGAACACTTTCATATTTTCAAGAAACTTTGTCGATCGCGCTCAGTATATGAGTCCAAGCATTTAGAAGCAATCGGGACAGTCCCATAGAAAATAATTATTGTTATGGCAGTTTCGACACCTAAATGCGGTTGTGTCACAAAATCACATCGGTAATTCTTGTGATAAAAGTTTCTTACATTCTTAGAGATATGATCCAATATGAATGCTACACTCTCATCAAAACCAGGATCCTCAGTGCTCTCATCTAAGCAATTGTAAGTCTGAATGTTGTGGGTAGCAGGGTTGGAGTAGAACCAGCTGTAACTTTTTTCCTCCTCGTGTACTGCGTTAGGAGCCCTGATAAACTCTGAAATAACGGTAAAGAAACGTTAATATTACTTGCCTCTACGTCAGCAATTTCTTACAATCATACAAATTAAGGGGGCAGGGGGGGTCTTCATGGAAATTTTATCAAAATCAACTTTTTAGTTTTTTTTTTTTTTTTTTTTTTTTAGAGAGGCTGGGCCATGATAGCCCACGAGAGGATAGCATTGAGATGCTCTGCCTACCTCTGGGGTGTGGCAACCTTGGGGAAGGTTGCCGGTGAGATCAGAGTGATTGGTGGAGGGTGGTGTAGGATGTTATATGAGTCAAAATGATACGCTTAAATGCCAGCTGGGTTTGGAAGAGTAAAACGAGACGAGACAGCATATGAGATAATACTTTAAGTCACCCCGGTCTGATCCAGCTCTTCCGGCACAATTAAGCGTTTGGTGCGGTTTGTGAAATTGACAATTGTGGTGATGTGTTGGTTGTCGAATATGTCATTGACAGAGAGGTAGTAGTCCTGGAAATATTGACCTCTAATTTGGGCAATAGCCGGACACTGTCCAAGGAAGTGTGAGACAGTTTCCTCTCCGTCCCCGCACATAGGACAAGCACTGGTGTTTGATTTGCAAATGGTGTGAAGGTGTTTATTTAGGCCGCAGTGACCCGTGATGAGGTGAACTGCAGTTCTGTAATCTTGTCTGTTGTTGCTGAGTGTAGTGTTGAGGTTTTTGATGATTTTGGCATGCTTGTGGCCGAGTGTCAGTTTGGTGTGTCTGGGACCGTCAGTTGACCAAGTTTCCTGATTCAGTCTGTTGACTTTGTTGTCGATTTGACGCTTGATGTAGGATTGTGGAATTGGACACCTCAAAGTGGATTCGCTGATAGTGCCAAGCTTGGCCAGCTCATCTGCTTTTTCGTTCCCCCACAATCCGATGTGTGCTGCAATCCATCGTATATCTAGCGTGTTGTTGGATCCGAGTGAATTAAGAGAGTCGTAACAGTCTCTTGTAGTTCTACTCCGCGTTGAAAGTGCGGAGAGAGCTTGAATAGATGATAGACTGTCAGACCATATGATGATGTGTGTGTTGGTATATGTAGATAGATATTTGCAAGCTTCAATGATAGCGGTGAGCTGAACTTTTTAGTTGTTTCTGATAGAGGGGAGTAATATCTATCAGATGCTTTTGATCCCGTGGAAAAATATTATTCCATTTTTTGAGCAATCACCTTGAAACTTTCAGGATATGTTCTATGGATCATTTTGAAGAGATGAGCCGGGCTGAATTTTGAGATAGGCCTTTAAAAAAATTTTATTCGATTTTGAAAATCTTGGACCTCGTTTTTTGATGATTTTTCGAGGTCCACGATTTTCAAAATCGAATAAAATTGTTTTAAAGGCCTATCTCAAAATTCTGCCCAGCTCATCTCTTCTAATTGATCCCTAGAACATATCCTGAAAGTTTCAGGGTGATTGCTCAAAAAATGTAGGAGAAGATAGATTTGCCCTGACTCGATTTTCAGGGCACGCGATCAAAAATCTCTCGCGCAATACAATTACACACATGCGCTGACCTATGACCGGCAATAATTTCGGCTAGGAACGATATTTTTTCACGGGATCTGATAGATATTACCCCCCTCTATCAGAAACAACTAAAAAGTCGATTTTGAGAAAAATTTCCATGAAGACCCCCCCTGCCCCCTTAACAAGAAGAACTCGTGTGAACGTCAAAATATAAATAAGGGTAAAATACCAAATTCAGCGAGAGACTTTAAAGCTTTTCTGAGACCTCCAGTTTTTTCTCTGAAACTGATCTCACTTTGTCTGTACCCGTGTAGACACAATATCTTCAATTTTCTGTTCATTGACCTTGATTTTGAAAATAATTAAATATTTCGGTTTATCAATAGTTAATTTTCAGTTTTCAATGAACCAGGACCCGGATCCTTGTCATGGCTTAAATTTAATCATCACATTAACAAATTAAAAGTCGGCAATTTTGTTCTTTAAAATGGTTGTTAACTAATACACATTACACAGTCAATTTAATAATTTAACCCCTCCCCTAATTTAGATAAATGAATATAAAGCTATGGTAGATAAACTGGATTTGTGTGCCTTTTGGGTTTAAAACCTTTAACATTATACCATTTCAAATACAATAAGTCAAGAAGAGACCAGAAACAACATGGTTGATGATTTCAGATGCTCTGAAATAAGCCGTATTACATACATATTGCAATTGAAATTGAATTGCAATAAAAACGGCTTTTTATTGCAGTTTTCATTGCAATTGCAATATGTATGTACTATGGCTAGAGATCCTTGTGTAATTCAACTAGTGATATAATCATGTCAATAATAAGATGTCTGTCAGTGACACAAATATTATATCAGAATAATAGTGGAGCAATGCTGGCAGCTTGTTGTTATCGTATTTTAATATTATGATTCCAATTGCCATCTTAATTGAAAAGTCTAATCATCTTCAATACAATAATAATATACTTACGTTTTACAGAATTCAACACCTAGCCAGGTTGACGACAAATAACAGATAAGGCCGTTTGGAAGGCTCCTTATTCTAAGATTCTACAGTGTACCAACCATTGAGTTCTTTTTGTTTGTTGAATCAGATATCCGTGGGTTCTGAATTAAAATTGGAATACCCACCACCAGACCATATTTCGGTTCTTTTTCAAGTTCTTTTTCTTTTCTCTGTCAAGTCATTGTTGACGGAGTTTGTTACATCTATTCCGGACGAACCTCCTGTTACTGGATATTGTTGCCAGAACGGGAATTCGTTATTGAACTGGAGCGCAGAAAAGACAGCAACTTCGCTGCACGGGTGGTCAGCCGTTCTGATGACCCGATAGAGGATCTATGAAGCAACCCCAAGTAACCCAAGTAAGTAGTGTGATGCCAGTATCTAATGTCTGTGACACTAATGCACCATGAAGTAGCTGCATGATAGTTTTATGGTCCATGTAAACTGATTCTGTCCATTGAGTAAGTTTGTTGATTAACTGCTACCCCAACGTTTGGATTTACTCTTTTTAAATTTAGCAACGTTTTAACAAAAACCTTGAATGAGCTGCTGATCAGAAGAAATGAGACAGCATTAAATGAGGACTGTACAAGTGGCAGTCCATGACAGTTAGTAAACTCAACAAAGTCCCAAAACGAACTCAAATTATTGCTGTTAAATGTGCTCAAATAAATTGAGTAACCGACACTCACTACCAAAATCAAGACATTGAAAACGTTCATAGCAGCAATAGCTTGAATACTTTTGTCAATGTTTCTACTGGACACTTCTGATGATGCAGTATCCGCATTTTTGAGATGAATTATCGTAAGTGTGCTGAATAGGCCTCCAAATAGCAGAAGTAAACAGTTTAGAAAAAGACTAATCATCGGCAATGTTCTTGCTACCGGTATATTTGCTGTTGAAACACCATCAAAAGTCCTAAAGTAAGCGACTGGTTTCCATTGAACCTCGATTATTCCGGAAGATATCTTTAATAGTCCCACGATAAAGAAAAAAGCACAAACAATATTTATTTTACTGGCAGAAACGATAGGGTCTTTGATATGGATGTAGCGTAAAACACATAGAAAAACCAACAAATCGATTTCCATATCGCATACTGTAAAGATGGCACTGTTAGCATACGATGTCCAAGATATGGAACTTCGATCAAATACAATGTAAAGAGGTGAATTATGAACTGATGATAGAAGTTTAGGAACCAGAGAAAACGGGGAGAATACGCTTTTAAATAAATCGATTGAGCTTATCAGTAGGAACAAGATTGTTGGCAGGGATTTCTTCTGTGTTGAATGATACCAGATAATAATAGGATACAGCGTTATTCCAATAATGAGACAACAGATAAACAGTGCTGCGAAGAAGTAGTTGAAGAATACATCCCAATTGTTCCCGTCTCTTAATAAAAAGATCATATCATCATTGTCTCTGACTGTAGCGTTTCCGAAGATTGCCATCACTATTATAAACCAGATATCTAAAAGTAGTAGAGTTGTCCTATCAAGACTAAAATAGTCGTTCAATTTAAAGATCAACAGCAAGGAATTCATGAAAATTAAATTTTAACAAATCTGCGACTGAATTAGTCCAAATAACAGCAACAAGACAACAGGACACACTGCTAAAATTATCTATATATGGAAAATCCACCTATAAAAATCCACCTATCAAATTACCACATGGAGAAATGTCCGCTATCAAACTGCAATGTGACTACTGCACAGAGATAATGGAAGAGGCAGATGCAAACTTGGACACCAAATGTCTAGATATATCGTGCCTGTCTAGATATATAATCGTACTGCATGCCATATACTATGCAAGTGCAAGTTCTTCTGGCAACAAAGACTATCAGCATACGGCAAAGACAGCACTGAAATAGAAGAAATATTTCCCCCAGCAAAATAACAGTAAATCTTACAAAGATGATTACCCTTTTCAGGAAACTAAGGTAATTAACCCATTAGAGCATTAGGGACGAGTGGGTCTTTTATGTCTACTTTTATCATGAATTATTAGCTTTGTTGTTTAATTGTTAGTGATTCATCGACTCCCTATTGTGAGGTCAATAATGTAGCCCTATATATTTTGAGCATCTGCGTACAAGATTTGTGGAGTTTAATACTTTGGTTTGTAATCTAAAACCAATGTATTGAACCTCTAGAAGGTTCTAAATTACAGGGCCCAGGGGACATAAACACATAAACGACCCACTCGTCGAGTCCCTAATGGGTTAAACTAAATAAAAACCTTACAAATTCAGAGAAAGGAAAATATCGAAAAAAAGAAAACATCAAGAAGACGAAAACGACTGAAAAGGAGGAAATCCCAAACGAGTATTTTTAAAATTAACACATTACAAAACTACCTTATAAACAATACAGGTTAAAAAGCAGCAAACACAGTAAAAAATTAAAGGATTAGAAATCCCATGAACAAAAATATAAAAACAAATTACATACAACACTACAAATCTATTACATTTATTGAGTATTATGTAATGTGATGGAAATGATTTAAACGGGTAAAGCCAGTCCAAACCCTGGAAAACAAAGTTAGAGATATAGAGATATAGCAAAAAGCGGCAAAAAGCGAAAAAGTAGGAGAATAGGAGAAATTGTGAAAAAGTAGGAGGAACTCTAAATGATATAAAATAAAAGGGGGTACGAGTGGGGCTTGTAGACTTGCTGCCCTTTAAGCGTTGGAACGAGCGATTAAAAACTAATTTTCCACAGAAATAATATACATTTATAACCGACGTGTTGGAGCAGATCGTTAAATGATTTTAACAGCCTCATGAGTTTTGGTTCATAACGTATTTTCTGTCTTATTTTGTGTGGTCTGTGGGTTAATTTGTTCTTTAAAATATATAGGGTCCTGGTCATTAGGGTAGCTCCAACGCAAAATAATATTTCAAATATCTCTCTGTACAGTCTTAATATATGGACACGTTCATAAAAAAGTGGCACTAGAGATTGATTTTTTTAAATGCGTTTTAGAAAATAGTCATTACTCTTTGTTGGTTGGTATATCTAACTAGACCTTTAGAAATTCGATTAAATTTCATGATCCTGAAATCACGAAGTCTCTATTGCTTATAATATCACATGGGTTATCGTTATTTAAGTGCCAATGATTCAAAAGTCACACAATTAGAAATGCAAGATGATTCAAAACTAGATAATCTGAAAAGTGCTATTCACAAATACACCAAAATTGATATGATGGCTATAATGCATGTAAGGAATGGAATCTCTTATCTGAAATTGTTATTGGTACCAAAATGATTCAATGATCACAACTTAAACGTTGAAAATAAGCCTATTTTGAGCTGTGTTTAATAAATCATTTAACGTTTTTCTTGGCTATTTATCTTGGCTATGATTCAAAAGTCACATTTTTGTTATTGCCATCGGTGCTCTATTACAGTTACCCTGTCACGCTTGATCATAATAATAGATAATAGTGCACGGTATGACAATTTTTATCCGTTCTACATTTCTTGTGATGTGATATTTGAATCCATGTTGACGGTTAAACAATTTCGAAGGCCTAAGAGTGATAAGTTTTGGTCTGTGGGTCTAAAATGATTCAATAATTGTAATTATGTCTTGAAATGAAAGCTAATGAATCAAAAATCACAATATAGTCTAGAATCACAATATAGTCTCTCACTTTGTCCGTACCCGTGTAGACACAATATCTTCAATTTTCTGTTCATTGACCTTGATTTTGAAAATGATTAAATATTTCACACCTGGTTGGTTTATCAATAGTTAATTTTCAGTTTTCAATGAACCAGGACCCGGATCCTTGTCATGGCTCAAATTTAATCATCACATTAACAAATTAAAAGTCGGCAATTTTGTTCTTTAAAATGGTTGTTAACTAATACACATTACACAGTAAATTTAATAATTTAACCCCTCCCCTAAGGCCTAATTTAGATAAATGAATATTTAAAGCTATGGTAGATAAACTGGATTTGTGTGCCTTTTACGACTAAAACCTTTAACATTATACCATTTCAAATACAATAAGTTAAGAAGAGACCAGAAACAACATGGTTGATGATTTCAGATGCTCTGAAATAAGCCGTATTACATACATATTGCAATTGAAATTGAATTGCAATAAAAACGGCTTTTTATTGCAGTTTTCATTGCAATTGAAATATGTATGTACTATGGCTATAGATCCTTGTGTAATTCAACTAGTGATATAATCATGTCAATAATAAGATGTCTGTCAGTGACACAAATATTATATCAGAATAATAGTGGAGCAATGCTGGCAGCTTGTTGTTTGCGACCG